ACTCTGCCCCGAAATCCAGATCAATCTTTATCCCTCCGCCATGTCCCTTCAACAATAACAACAACAAGATTGCATTTATAGAGCGCCTTTCACGTTCGGAGGACGTCCCAAAGCGCTGGACAGTTGGGTCGGGACCCGAGCAGGGGGGAAATGGTCAGGGTGAGGGGAGGGAAGGGAGGCAGCAAGGAGGGGTAGAGAGTCGAGAGGGGAGCTGCAGGCACGGTTGAAGAGGAAGGTCTTGAGACAGCCTTGAAAGAGGAAAGGGAGGAGGCGGCGAAGGCACTGGGGGATAGAGTTCCAGAGCCTAGGGGACTGAGAGGCTGAAGGCCCGGCCACCGATGGTAGGGCGGTTGGGGCGGGGATGTAGAGCAGACCGGAGCCAGAGGAACAGAGGTACGGGCAGGTAGGTAGGGGGATAGTAGGTCGGAGAGGTAGGAGGGAGCGAGGCCGTGAATGGCCTTGTAGGTGAGGGTGAGGATCTTGAATTCGATCCTCTGGAGGATGGGGAGCCAGTGGAGGCGAGCGAGGGTGGGAGTGATGTGGTCGCGAAGCCTGGTGCGGGACAGTACACGAGCTGCAGAGTTCTGAATGACCTGCAGGTTGTGGAGGGAGGTGCCGGGAAGGCCAATGGGAAGAGTGTTCCCGGAGTCCAGCCTTGAGGTGATAAAGGCGTGGACCAGAGTTTCAGCAGCGTTTCCTTGCCATCTTTAGGTCACACCTGAAGACCTCCTCTTTGACCGTGCCAATGGTTACCTCCCCCTTCTGGCTCGGTGGCATACTCTGTCAATGTCAAGTGCTCTGGGACACAACCGTACTGTGGAATTAGACTCCAGCAGTTACCCCAATCCTTGGCTCTTGCCAACCTGTGTCTAATACTCTCTGGAATTAGGTAAGCAGCGTGCATCACTCCAGGGAGAGAGAGAGAGAGTGCATTCCATTCCAACAATCTATCTCTGGGATTTATTTCCATGTGCAAATGGGATGCATAGAATTCTCAGTTGGGTTTGGAGACTCTTAAGCACAGTGAAGGGTTTCCACGTGTCAGACGCCCACCCAGCTGATGAAAAAAAATTGTTTTATAAATGTAAGGGGTGAGGTGTTCTGTGACATCTCTCTGGGGTGAAAGGTGCTGTGCAATGTTAATTAGGTGTATCATTATTTTTACAAACAGGTTGGGAACAATTTTCAAGAAAGGGGAAAAAAGGAGTTGAATGACATTGCCTCTTACCCAGAAAACCTCTATAATATCGCTGATTATACTCAGCTGAACAACGTGCTGAAATCGTTAAAGGAGAAGATGTATTTAATTGAAGGTCAGTTTAAAAACATTTTAATAATTCATAACTCCATATCCTCAGCCAAACCAAACTCTGTGCCCATTACACCAGCCCTCGCCAGGCTTCACTGGCTCCCTATCACACACTAAACTGTGCGCCCATTTCACCAGTCCTCGCCAGGATCCACTGGCTTCCTAATACATAACGGATCTATCTCAAGATCCTCACACTCGCCAACAAATCCCTTCACACCCTGGCACCTCCCTGCCTCTCTGACCTGCTTACTTATCTTTCAGTAGGAACCCAGTTGTCTGTCAGTCAGTCAGTCAGTCAATCATTCAATCAATCAATCAATCAATCAATCAATCAGATTATTAACCCCAGAGAAGCCATCTGCCAATCGACTAACAACTGGGTTCCTACCAGCTACTTGGTAAACAGAGGTGTGTGGAATAAGATAACTTGCCCAACATTTCATCCACGCTGGGAATCGAACCACGCTGCCTCACTTGTGAGATGAGTGCTCTAACCACTGCACTGCAGGACTCTACAGGACTTCTTGTTGTTCTATGTCTCAGAAGCAAATTCTGTCGGATTTACCCCCATAGGGACCCAGGAATCTGACTCCGCCTCCTTCAAATGGAAATGTCACAGGGAGGATTCAGTGCCCTAATATCAAAGGTACATGGAATAAACAATGGAACAGAAATTGGATTCAGATATGAGAGGGAGATGGGTAGAGACTTGGGGAGTCAGGTGATGGATTGAAGTGTGAGAGGGATATGGATATACTGGGGAGTGAGGTGTGATGTGATGTTGGAGAGGGAGATGGATAGAGACTTCGGGATCAGGGATGGATTGAGATGTGAGAGGGAGATGGATAGAGTTGGAGAGTCAGGGGGTGGATTGAGGGGTGAGAGGAGATATAGGCTGAGATCCTGACATGTGTTTCTCAGGACGCCATGGTTTTTGGGACCGTGGGAGCCTACGATTGGTCAGGAGGTCTGATGGAGTACGTCGATGGGAAGCAAGTCTTTATAAACGTCTCGCAAGCTGAGAATGACATGAAGGACTCTTATCTAGGTAATGAATAAGGAATTATTACGAAAATAATTATTTTATTATTATTTAATAATTATTAATAACATGTTGTTATCGGAGGCGCCATCCTTCGGATGAGATGTTAAACCTCATTCTCTCCAAAGATCATCCGCGGTGCTGTCGGGAGGGAAAAGAGAATGGAGTTTCTCTCTGTGTAACTCTCTCCCGGTCTCCTGGTTGACAATCCCCCAAATAAAATGGCTCGCTCTCCTCACGGCTGTTTGCAGGGATGTCGCTGTGCACAAACTGGCTGCCGCTTTTCACCCACAAAACATCATACTTCACAGTATATCCTGTCAGGTGCTTTGAGATGTCTTGGAGATGTCATAAAAATAATAACAATAATATAACAAAAATCCTTGCATTTGATATAACACCTTATCACGTCTCAAAGCACATCACAGAATTTTCTGTAATGTGCAGTGACTGTATATTTTGTGGGCGAAACTAGGCAGCCAATTGCACCAGCAGCATCCCACAAACAATCATGGATTCAGTGAACAAATTATTTTTAAAATTTATTATGAAGGATTTATTATCCCGGAAAAGCAATCAGACAATCGACTAACAATCAGGTTACTTCTTACTGCAAGGTAAACGTGCGTTTTCCCTGCCTGGGAATCGAACCCGGGTCCTTTTGCTTGCGAGGCGAGTGTTCTAACCAATATGCTACATGACTCCATAGCAAGAATTATTATTATTATTGATAAACCACTCAGCTCCGGCGTGTGCTGAAGATTGCAGACTGACTGACGCTGCTCTCTCTGCTCCTGGCTTGCAGGGTACTCAGTGGCAGGAGCGAACGTGAGCGACACGTCTCTCTACATTGTGGGAGCTCCTCGCTATCTGCACAAGGGCAAAGTGGTGATATTCTCAAAGAACTTGTCAACTGGCTCTTGGGCCCCAATCCAGCATATCAACGGACAGCAGGTATAGCACAACAGGAACCCCCCCTCTTCTATTCCTGTCTGTTCCTTTTCACACTTCACTGTGTCTCTAACTTTGACCCGAGAGTGACAAACGTGTTCATTTCACATTCCATTATTCTTCTCAGAGAACTTGCCTGGGACAGATAATGTAGAGGAAGCTTTACTGTGTCTCTAACCCTAATCTGGGAGTGTGGATGGACAATGTAGAGGGAGCTTTACTGTGTCTCTAACCCTGAATCTGGAGTGTGGATGGACAGTGTAGAGGAGCTTTACTGTGTCTCTAACCCTGATCTGGGAGTGTGGATGGACAGTGTAGAGGGAGCTTTACTGTGTCTCTACCCTGACCTAGGAGTGTGGATGGACAATGTAGAGGGAGCTTTACACAGCTGTAGCTGTTCACACTGACTTGCATTGCAGATCGGAGCATACTTTTGGATGTGAGCTGTGCAGTGTGGATTTGACTCAAGATGAGGCACAGACTTGTTGCTGATTGGAGCACCTCTGTATCACGACTATGGGTTGGGGGAATGGTCAGAGTCTGTGTTCTCAGGAACTTGGTATGTTTCAACGTGTGTTTGTGCTCAAAGAAGAATATTATCTCAACCCTTCCTGTTCATTCCCACCATAAACACTGCCAACCCCTGCCTGTTCATTCCCACCATAAACACTGCCAACCTTTGCCTGTTCATCCCACCATACACACTGCCAACCCTGCCTGTTCATTCCCACCATACACACTGCCAACCCTGCCTGTTCATTCCCACCATACACACTGCCAACCCCTGCCTGTTCACTCCCACCATACACACTGCCAACCCCTGCCTGTTCACTCCCACCTGCCTATTCTCTTCAGGGCACTGCGGATGTCAGCACAGCCCAGCCTGGCTCATTGGCAGGACCTGGAAGGGCAGGCCAGTCACTGGGGGAAGGGAATCCCCCACTGAGCTCCTGTTAACCCTGCAGCCAAAATCCTAACGGGGAGGGTGGTGCCGCTGGACAAGCAGCGGGAAAGCTTGCCAGACAGCGTTTTCAGTGGCAAGCCTATGTGGTTTTAGCTGGTTAGATTCCAGCAGTTACCCCAACATACACTCTGGGGTCCCCAACGCCTTGGCTCTCACCAACCTGCGCCTAATACTCTTTGGAATTAGGTAAGCAGGAAGTGTCCCTCCAGAGAGAGAGAGAGAGTGCGCATTCCATTCCGACAATCTACATCTGGGAATTACCAGGTTTAGGTGGAATGTATGGAAATCTCAGCTTGGATTGGAGACTCTTAAGCCTGGTGAAGGGTTTCCACGTATGTCAGACACCCAGCCGATGAAAAAAAAATTGTTTTCTAAATAAATGTAAATGGTGAAGTGTTGTGAGACGTCTCTGGAAGTGAAAGGCCCTGCGTTGATTCTTCCTAGGAGAATTTGACCTGCACAGACACGCTGTACGGGAAAGCAGGGAATGTCTTTGGGAGGTTCGGAAGTGCGATATCTGAGTTGAGGGACGTGAATGGGGACGGGATCAACGACGTGGCCATCGGGGCTCCCCTGGAGGACGAGCACGCTGGCTGTCTTTACATCTTCAACGGGGAGCGGCACCGCATCAATCCTGTCTATAGTCAGGTCAGTGATCCCAGTACCTCACCAGGGGCGCTAGTGTAGCCATAACTAGTCCTGCAGTGCAGTGGTTAGTGATCTAGTTGAAGAGGAGGGTCTTGAGATGGGCCTTGAAGGAGGCAAGGGAGGGGGCGAGGCGAAGGGACTGTGAGATGACGTTCCAAAGGGTGGGGGCAGAGAGGCTGAAGGCCACCACCGATAGTGGGACAGGCCGGGCGGGAGAACATGGAGCAGGCCGGAGTCCGCGGGCTGATGCTGTCCCGCTGATCGCTCGCTCCCGGTCTTTCGTGTGCAGTTTGGCTGCCGCCTCGACCGAACCGCTCCCCCGAAAATGCTTCTCCTCCTACCCCCCTCTATCCGCTACTCCCACTCGTCCTTCTCTCCCACCGCCCTCCACGCCTTCTCTCTCTCCTGGACCCCATCATTACCTCCCTCTGCCCCAGACTGGGCAGCCTCCTCCGGGCCCATCGTGGCTCCTGCGTTGGTTGTACCAGAGCAGCCATCCCAACTGTTCCATTGTTCACTGTCTCCACAGCATCCGCCTCTGCAACAACTCCTTCCCCCTCCCTCAGCCATACCCTCTCCAACACTGCCTGCTCCTCAAACTCCACGGTCATTTCTCCCCCATGACACCAAATCCTCTTCATTCCACGCTCTCCTCCATCCTCACCCATCAGCCAACCCATCCGCATTTCCCTACAAAATGTCTGCTCCATCTGCAGTAAAGCCCTCACTCTCCATGACCTCATCCTGGATGAGCACATGGATATTCTTGGGCTTACGGAAACCTGGCTCTCCCCAGTGACTCCATCCCCCGAGTTAACCTCCCCTCCTGGCTACAACTTTCACCACAACCCCTGCCCAAACCAACATGGCAGCGGGGTGGCCCTCATCTCCCAAGCTTCCCCGGTCTATCCCATTATTCCTCTGGCTGCTTCTCCTCATTTGAGCACCTCACCCTCTCACTCAAAATTCTCCTGGTTTACCCCCCAAAACCCCCTGGCTCCTTCCTTCCGATATCTCTGCTCTCCTCTCCTGTCCCTTTGTCAGATCGCCTGCTCATAATGGGCGACTTCAACCTCCACCTAAACTCCCCTTGCGCCACATCCTCAGATTTCATTGCCCTCCTCTGCTCCCTAAACCTCACCCTCCACATCAACTTGCTGACCCACAACCATGGCCACTCCCTCGACTTCATCATCACACATAGCCTCGACATTTCCAATCTGTGTATCACGGGCAAAGCCACCTCGGACAACTTCCTCATCTCCTTCTCCTCTCGCATTCCTCTCCCCTCAATCTTGCCCCAATCACACTTTCCGCCCATGGAAGAGGCTTCCCCCTGAGACCCTCACAAAAGCCCTCTCATCCTCAGACCTCCTATCCCACTGGCCTTCTGTCCACAGCGGCCCTGAAGCAGCTGTCAAGCTGTTCCATGATCGCCTCTCCTCCACCTTCAACTCCCTCGTCCCCTGAAATCCAGGAGCGTCTCCAAACCCAACCGCTCTCCCAGTACAACAGCCATCTCCGCTCCCTAACATCCCAAACCCGGCTGCTCGAGTGCAGGTGGCAGAAAAACAGCCTCACCACCAGCTGTGGCTCGAGCATCTTCACACCTACCCCGCTGCCTGTCGCAAGCAAAAACTGCGCACTATTGAAACATCACACTGGAGGCCAATAATAACTACAAAATCCTATTTTCCACCACCCGCCACCTCATCCGTGTGCTCCCTTAAGCCCCTCAATCATCACATCTAACGCCGCGTAAGGGTCATGGACTTCCTTACCTCTAAAATTGACAACATCCGCCTGGCTGCTTCATATCTGCCCCATGTCGCCTACCACCACCCCCATTCTGTCTCCCTCACCCACCCCACCCTCAGCTCCTACCATAGCTCCCACCCTACATTCATTTGCCCCCATCACTCCTTCCTCTCATCCACCATCACCACAATGAAACCCATTACCTACTGCCTCGACCCCCTCCCCACTCAACTACTGATCACTCAGCTCCCCCTCCTCTGCCCACTGCTGGCAGACACTATTAACTGTCTCTCTCCTCAGGATCAGTCCACCCACTCTCAAACCTGCGGTCATCAACCCACTGCCTTAAAAAAATCTACCCTCGATCCCTCCAATCTCGGCCACTCCCGCCCTATCTCAAACCTGCCTTCCTTGCCAAAGCTCTGGAACTCATCGTTGCCAACCAATTTCGTGCCCACCTCTCCCACCACACCCTACTCTAACCCCTCCAGTCCGGTTTCCGTTCCGACTGACCACAGTACAGAGACAGTGCTTGTGAAGGTCACAAGCGATATCCTCTCTATCTGTGACTAGGGCTCTCTCTGCCTCCTTGTCCTCCTGGACCTCTCCACCGCGTCCGACACAATCGATCAGGCCATCCTCCTCCACCACCTGTCCTCCATCATCCACCTCAGTGAGACCCGCACTCACTTGGCTCGAGTCCTGCCTTACAAACCGCCAGCGATACATTTCTGCAAATAGCTTTTCTTCCCCCCGGTCACCTGCGAGGTAGATACCTCAAGGATCCATCCTTGGCCCCCTTTTCTTCCTCATCTATGTGCTCCCTCTCGGTGATGTCATCCGCAGACACGGGGTTAACTTCCACATGTATGCGGATGACACTCTACTTTTCCACCTCCAGCTTTAACCTTCAGTCCCCTGATGTTCTGTCAGTTTGTCTGTTAGACATCAGGAGCTGAATGAGCAAAAATTTCCTGCAGTTAAACGTCAACAAGATGGGAGCCATAGTCGTTGGCTCCCGCCCACGTCTTCTGAACCACGGTTCCGACCTCCTCAACCTACCCGACCTGTCCTTAAAACTGTCTGAAGCCGTGCGCAACTTAGGCATCAGGTTCGAACCCCAGTTATCCTTCCTCCCCCACAACCAGTCCCTGACCAGCACCTTTCTTCCACCTCCACCACATTGCCCGTCTCTGACAATACCTCACCCCAAAAGTTGCCGAAACCCTTGTCCATACCTTTGTCACCTCTCAGCTGGTCGACTCTAACGCCCTCCTCGTCGCTCTTCCCTCCTCCACTATTCACAAAATTCAGCTCATCCAAAACTCCGCCGCCCGCATTCTGACTCGCACTGACCTCCGTACCCTGATTACTCCAGTCCTGGCCAAACACCACTGGCTCCTGTCACAGAGCAGATCCACTTCAACATCCTCACTCTAGTGTTTAAACCCCTCCATTCCTTGCCCCACCCCATCTCGCTAACCTCCTCTCTCCCCACAGCAGTACCCGCTGCCTCCGCTCTACTGGCTCCGGCCTCCGCATCCCCCGAATCCTCCGCTCCACCATCAGCGGCCGTGCCTTAGTCACTACGCCCTGAAACTTTGGAACTCCCTCCCTCAACCCCTTCACCTCGCCCCCTCCTTCCCCATCTTCAGGTCGCGCCTGAAGACCTTCCTTTTCGACCGCGCCCACAGTCACCTTCCCCCTTCCCCGGCTCAGCCTCGGGCCCCACCATTGGTAAGCTCTGAGATACCGCCCGGTGTGGAGGGCGTTAGATTGTTGTTGTTGTTGACTCTCCCTCAACACACATCACACCCGCTTTCCCCTCACCTGCACCACCAAACCTCATCTTTGATGGTTGAAGTGATTTCTTCCTCTTCTCCACTCTCTCTCTCTCTCTCTCTCTGTGCTCTGTGCAGATATGTGTGTGTGTGTGTGTGTATATACGTGTATGTCTCTCGGTCTCTCTCTCTGCACTCTCTCTGCTCTCTCTCTTTCCCTCTGTCAGTCTCTCTATACCTGCGTGTGTCTCTGCTCTCACTCCTCTCTCTGCTCTCCTTTTCGCTGTCTGTCTCTCTTTCTCTCTCTCTTTCTCCGTCTGTCTCTTTCTGTCTGTGTGTGTGTGAGTGTGTTCTGAGTGCGACTGTGTTTGTACGTGAGTGTGTCTGTCTCTGTGTGGGGCGAGTGTGTCTGTGTGAATGTGTGTGTTCTGCCCTCAACCTCTCTGCTCCCTTTTTCTATCTCTATATCTCTCTCTATACCTATCTGTGTGTGTGTGTTTTGAGGGCATCTGTGTGTGTGAGTTGGTTGCATCTGTGTAGTGTGAGTGTGTCTGTGGGAATGTGTGTGAGTGTGTGTATTCGAGTTTGTGAGTGTGTCTGACTGAGAGTGTGGTGTTTGCTGGTGTGTCTGCAAGTGTGTCTGTGTTTGTGACTGTGTGGTGTGTGAGTGTGTAAGTAATAATTTACTCTCCGGCTGTGTTTGGCACAGTGTACAATGCTCAGCCTCTACCTCACTGGGATCCTCTCTGCTTATTACCCTGACTGCCTGTATGACCGCTCTCCTCTGCACACAGTGACCTGCCCCACGTCACCCACTGACAACAAGCTTTGTTCTTCCCCTGAATGTGACGCCGCCATTTCTCCTCTAACTCAAGCTTTGCTCAATTTGCTCCCACTGTATATCTCTGTCTCCTTGTCACTCAGTCTGAACAGTGAGGCAGGGAATCCTTCCACTCAGTTCGTGATAACCTTGCAAGCCAAAGCCCTAACGGGTAGGGCGGTCCTAGCTGGACAAGCAGCGGGAAAGCTTGCCAACCAGGGCTCTCAATGGCAATCTATGTGGTTAGACTCCAGCAGTTACCCCAACGTACACTCTGGGGTCCCCAAGCCGCAGGTCCCCAAACCTGTGCCTGATACTCAGATACCAGCTGATCAAGGTGAACGGGTTTCTGTGGGTGTCAAGAAACTAACTGATCAAGCAAGCCTCAGAGTGAGTGTGAAGCTGGGTGAGTGTGAGCGGGGTGAGTGAGTGTGAGCGGGGTGAGTGAGTGTGAGCAGGGTGAATGAGTGTGAGCAGGGTGAGTGAGTGTGAGCAGAGTGAGTGAGTGTGAGCAGGGTGAGTGAGTGTGAACAGGATGAGTGTGAGTTGGGTAAGTCTGGTGTGCAGTTGAGGAATGGATTGGAATAATGACACAGGTTAGAGAGCGGGAATATTGGGGAAAATTTGAAGCCACCGACCGGTGATGGAGGGGGGATACTGCATGGGGTGGGAATGATGTAGAGATCTCAGAGTAGGCAAGTGCTGGTATTTGGGGGCGCGCGGGGGTTGGGGTTGGGTGGGGGGGTGGGGTTGGTGTGGGGGGGTGTGTGGGGGAGGGCTGGCATTGTGGGGGGCTGGCATTGTGGGGTTGGCGTTGGGGGGGCTGGCGTTGGGGGGGAGCTGGCGTTGGAGGAGGGATTTGGTGTTGGTTGGGAGGGGGGTGGCTGGCGTTGGGGGTGCTGGTGGGGGTTGGCATTGGGGGGGTTGGTGTTGGGGGCTGGCGTTGGGGGGCGTGTTGGTGTTGGGGAGGCTGGCGCGTGGGGGGGTGTTGGTTTTGGGGGGCTGGCGTTGGGGTGGGGGTTGGTGTTGGGGGGGCTGGCATTGAGGGGGTTTGGTGTTTGGGGGGGCTGGCGTGGGGGGGCGGCTGGTGGGGGGGGTTTGGTGTTTGGGGGGGGCGTGGGGGGGGGGGGGGGCTGGCGCTGGGAAGGACTGGCGTTGTGGTGGGGTGACTGGCGAGGGGGGGGCTGAACGCTGTTTCCTGTTTGCAGGTGGCTGAGATGAAGAGCCCAGTGAAGACGGGAGCATCGCGCCCTCCCACAGCGCCACTGAGCAAGCCGGCCACCTCCCCCACCTCCGCCTCCCCCAGGACAGCAGCCCTCCAGAGAGGCTCCAACACCAGCCCCCCCAAACGGCCAACATGTACGTCCCAGACCCCAGCCACCAGCACCCCCCTGACATCAACACCCCCCCAGCCACCAGCACCCCCTGACATCAACACCCCCCACCACCACCCCCCACATCCACCAGCCACCAGCACCCCGCTGACATCAACACCCCCCCAGCCACCAGCACCGCTGACATCAACACCCCCAGCCACCAGCACCCCGCTGACATCAACACCCCCCAGCCACCAGCACCCCCTGACATCAACACCCCCCAGCCACAGCACCCCCTGACATCAACACCCCCAGCCACCAGCACCCCCTGACATCAACACCCCCCCAGCGACCAGCACCCACCTGACATCAACACCCCCCCAGCCACCAGCACCCACCTGACATCAACACCCCCCCAGCCACCAGCACCCCACTGACATCAAACACCCCCCAGCCACCAGCACCCCCTGACATCAACACCCCCCAGCCACCAGCACCCCCCTGACATCAACACCCCCCCAGCCACCAGCACCCCGCTGACATCAACATCAACAAGAGAGAGACAGCCCTGGGAGATGGCTGGGGGAGACGTACTATGGTATAACTGTATTGACACCTGGAGCTGATTCTAATGTTTCTAATCTGGTTTTCCAGCCATTAAAACTGAACCCAGATCTGCAGACAGCAAGAAACCTCTGTCAGCCAAGTCCCCCTCAGGTAAGGTCTCCCTCTGTCAGCCAAGTCCCCCTCTGGCCCCCGGGTCTCTCTGGCCTGTGGATGGGGGGTTGGGAGGGTGGGGTGAGGTATGGGGGTCGAGTCTTGTAGCTCAGTGGTTACAGCACTTGCTTCGCAAGCGAGGGGACCCTGGTTTGATTCCCGGCAGGGTGAAATATTGGGCAAGTTTCCTTACTCCATACATCTCTGTTTACTTGCAATAAATAGGAACCCGGTCGTTAGTTGATAGAGGGTTCTTTTTTCCGGGTGTCTATCATTCTCTCTTCCCCCTCAAAAAAAACTGTTTTGGTCACTCAATCCACGACTGTGAGCTATGTGCTGGGACGCTGCTGTGTGTAATTGGCTGTCGAGTTTCCCCCACAAAATATACAGTTACTCCACTTCATGGCATTTTCTGTGAAGCGCTTTGAGAAGTCTCGAAGACGTAATAAGGCACTATATCAAATGTAAGGATATGTGAGGGGGGTGGGATGTAGGGGGGGTTTGGGCGTGTGCGGGGGGGAGGGGAGGGGAGATTTTCGGGGGGGGAGTGGGGATAACAGTTAGACAGTGATGATATTTCGTTCTGCCGACAGCTGAGCTAAGCCGGCCTCGAACAGCCTCCTCCACCCCGGTGAAGAGCTCCCCTGGGACCCCAACTGCCCGGACCCCCTCTGCCCGAGCTCCCACACCCCGAGGTCCCCGGTCTTCCACCATGAAGATGACAGCTGCAGCGGAAGCCAAGCGTGTAGCGCCCGTGACCCGCCTTCCCCCAAAGCCCGTGCTTGCCCCCAGACCCCCCCGGCCAACCAGCGCCCCTGTCCCAGCCCCCAACCTCAAGAACATCAGGTCCAAAATCGGCTCCACCGAAAACATCAAGTACCAGCCCGGCGGCGGCAAGGTAAGCGGGTGGGGGGGCAGTGATCAGGGTGACAGTTTCCGTGTGTGTCAGACACCGCCTGGTCACGGTGAGGGTTTCCGTGTGTGTCAGACACCGGCTGATCACGGTGACGGGTTTCCGTGTGTGTCAGACACCGGCTGGTCACGGTGACGGGTTTCCGTGTGTGTCAGACACCGGCGGGTCACGGTGACGGGTTTCTGTGAGTTTCAGAACATAAGAACATAAGCATTAGGAGCAGGAGTAGGCCATTCAGCCCCTCTAGCCTGCCCCGCCATTCAATAAGATCATGGCTGATCTATTCTGTGGAGTCCTGTAGCTCAGTGGTTAGAGCACTCGCTTTGCAAGCGAGAGACCTGAGTTCAATTCCAGGCAGAGGGTGAAACCTTGGGCAAGTTTCCTTACTCCACACAGAGCCTAACAATAATCCCTCCAAAACCAACAATAATAAATTGGTCATTTTCAATCCACGACTGTTTGTGGGACATTGCTGTGCGCAATTGGCTGCCGCGTTCGCCCACAAATATACAGTCAATTCACTTTACAGTGTGTTCTGTGAAGCGCTTTGGGACGTCCTCCCGACGTGAAAAGCGCTATATCAAATGCAAGGATTATTATTATTATTATTATTCTAACTCCACCTCCCGCCTTATCCCCATATCCCTTAATCCCTTTATCCACAAGAAATCTATCAATCTCAGACTTGAATATGTTCAAGGACTGAGCATCTGCAGCCCTTTGGGGTAGAGAATTCCATAAATTCACTGAAGAAGTTTTTCCTCAACTCAGTGCGAACGGGTTTACCCCGAACTTTAACACTGTGACCCCTGGTTACAGTTTCTCCAACCAGCGGAAAAAGTCTCCCACTGTCTATTCTGTCGGGCCCCTTAATAATCTTATAGGTTTCTATAAGATCACCTCTCATTCTTCTATATTCTAAAGAATATAGGCCTACATTTCTCAACTTATCCTCATAACTCATCCCCTCATCCCAGCTACCAACCCAGTGAATCTACGTTGTGCCCCCCCCAAGGCGAGTACATCCTTTCCTAAATACGGAGACCGAAACGGCACACAATACTCTCGGTGCGGTCTCACCAGAGCCCTACACAGTTACAGCAATACTTTCCTACTCTTATATTCTAACCCTTTTGTAACAAATGCCAACGTACTGTTAGTCTTCCTAATTGCTGCTGTACCTGGAAACTAACTTTTTGTGTCAGACACCGGCTGGTCACGGTGACGGGTGTCCGTGTGTGTCAGACACCGGCTGGTCACGGTGACGGGTTTCCGTGTGTGTCAGACACCGGCTGGTCACGGTGACGGGTTTCCGTGTGTGTCAGACACCGGCTGGTCACGGTGATGGGTTTCCGTGTGTGTCAGACACCGGCTGGTCACGGTGACGGGTGTCCGTGTGTGTCAGACACCGGCTGGTCACGGTGACGGTTTCCGTGTGAGTCAGACACCGGCTGGTCACGGTGACGGGTTTCCGTGTTCTCAGACACCGGCTGGTCACGGTGACGGGTTTCCGTGTGTGTCAGACACCGGCTGGTCACGGTGACGGGTTTCCGTGTGAGTCAGACACCGGCCGGTCACGGTGACGGGTTTCCGTGTTTCTCAGACACCGGCCGGTCACGTTGACGGGTTTCCGTGTGTGTCAGACACCGGCCGGTCACGGTGACGGGTTTCCGTGTGTGTCAGACACCGGCTGGTCACGGTGATGGGTTTCCGTGTGTGTCAGACACCGGCTGGTCACGGTGACGGGTTTCCGTGTTTCTCAGACACCGGCTGGTCACGGTGACGGGTTTCCGTGTGTGTCAGACACCGGCCGGTCACGGTGATGGGTTTCTCAGACACCGGCTCATACCAGATCATGGTGACAGAGAGACAGAATCAATCCCACGATGGGGGATGGTAAAAGGGACGGTAACTGCAGACAGTGTGAGCAGTGATCCGTGTGGTGTGGGGTGGGTACTTTGTGTGTGTTGTGTGCGTGTCTAAGTGGGTGGGGGTTTCTCTGGGTGTGGTGTGTGTTGGGGGGTTGCTCTGTATGTGTGAGTGTGTGTGGGGGTGCTGTGTGTGTTGTGGGGGCGGTGGATGTGTGTGATGTGGGGATGGGGTTGGTGGGCTGTAGTGGGCATAGGCTCATTTCTCCGTGTTGTGATGTTCTCCACACCCATTCCATCCCCCGCCTGGTTTCCCTCCCTCCATCCCTGGTGTTGTTTTTCTCAGTGGTTCATGCCCTGTGTCTGTCTGTGTGTCTGTCCCACACACAGGCCAGAGTGTTAGACAGGAAGGCTGAGGCCGGCAGATTGAGTGGAAAGCCTGAAGTCTCTACAGTGACTCGAGTCACTAAGTCAGCCACTGGGAGAGAACCCGCGAGGCTGAGTGAGAGCAAAGTGAGTTACACACGCTCGCTTGCTCGCTCGCTCGCTAGCAACTCTCATTTACTTTGCCCATCTACAGTGTGAGTGAGTGTGAGTGTGGCAGTGTGAGTGCGTTCAGTATAAACTTCTTCTCCTCCCACCTCGACTGCTCCAATGTCCTCCTCACATGTCTTCCAAACTCCACCACCCACAAACTACAACTAATTTAGAACTCCACCACCCGTATTCTCACCCACACTGAACTCCATCCCCCCATCCCCCCAGCCCTCGCCAGACCCCACTGGCTCCCCATCACACACACTGAACCCCATCCCCCCATCCCCCCAGCCCTCGCCAGACCCCACTGGCTCCCCATCACACACACTGAACTCCATCCCCCCATCCCCCCAGCCCTCGCCAGACCCCACTGGCTCCCCATCACACACACTGAACCCCATCCCCCAGCCCTCGCCAGACCCCACTGGCTCCCCATCACACACACTGAACCCCTCCCCCCCCCCCCAGCCCTCGCCAGACCCCCTGGCTCCCCATCACACACACTGAACCCCATCCCCCATCCCCCCAGCCCTCGCCAGACCCCACTGGCTCCCCATCACACACACTGAACCCCATCCCCCCAGCCCTCGCCAGACCCCACTGGCTCCCCATCACACACACTGAACCCCATCCCCCCAGCCCTCGCCAGACCCCACTGGCTCCCCATCACACACACTGAACCCCATCCCCCAGCCCTCGCCAGACCCCACTGGCTCCCCATCACACACACTAACCCCATCCCCCCAGCCTCGCCGCCCCACTGCTCCCCACCACACTGAACCCCATCCCCCCAGCCCTCGCCAGGCCCCACTGGCTCCCCATCACACACACTGAACCCCATCCCCCCAGCCCTCGCCAGACCCCACTGGCTCCCCATCACACACACTGAACCCCATCCCCCAGCCCTCGCCAGACCCCACGGGCTCCCCATCACACACACTGAACCCCATCCCCCCAGCCCTCGCCAGACCCCACTGGCTCCCCATCACACACACTGAACCCATCCCCATCCCCCCAGCCCTCGCCAGACCCCACTGGCTCCCCATCACACACACTGAACTCCATCCCCCATCCCCCAGCCCTCGCCAGCCCCCACTGGCTCCCCATCACACACACTGAACCCCATCCCCCAGCCCTCGCCAGACCCCACTGGCTCCCCATCACACACACTGAACCCCATCCCCCCAGCCCTCGCCAGACCCCACTGGCTCCCCATCACACACACTGAACCCCATCCCCCCAGCCCTCGCCAGACCCCACTGGCTCCCCATCACACACACTGAACCCCATTCCCCCAGCCCTCGCCAGACCCCACTGGCTCCCCATCACACACACTGAACCCCATCCCCCCAGCCCTCGCCAGACCCACTGGCTCCCATCACACACACTGAACCCCATCCCCCCAGCCCTCGCCAGACCCCACTGGCTCCCCATCACACACACTGAACCCCATCCCCCCAGCCCTCGCCAGACCCCACTGGCTCCCCATCACACACACTGAACCCCATCCCCCCAGCCCTCGCCAGACCCCACTGGCTCCCTATCACACCCTAAACCCTGTACCCCATCCCCCCAGCCCTCGCCAGCCCCCACTGGCTCCCTATCACACACTATGTGAGTGAACATGTGTGTGCGAGATTGTGTGAGTGCATGCATGTGTGTGAGCATGTGCGTGTGCGTGTGTAAGAATGCGTACGTGTGTGTAAAAATGCATGTGTGTGAGAGGAAGTGTATGTGTAGAGGCATGTGCTCATTTGTGAGCTGCAGCTAACTCTTACCGCTGGTCACTAACCCCTGTGGTTGTGAATGGCTTGGCACGGGATCTCTCTTCAGATCAGTAGATCCTCCTGATTTCCTCCACACTAAACCCTCCGGCTCACTGTCTGTCTGTGTGTGTGTATGTTTGTCTGTCTGTAACACCATTTGTGCAGTTTCCAGTGACTGTTGAGTTGAGCCCCATGTAATTTAGTTGCCAGAATTAGCAGAGAACTAACTGCGAGGGGAGAATGGGGTTAGACTGGGGGGAGTGAGCACCAGCACAGACACACTGGGGAGAGAGCAGGGAATGGGGTTAGAGTAGAGGGCTCCAGTGGGGGAGCGAACCCCAGCACAGACACGATGGGGAGAGAGAGCAGGGAATGGGGTTAGAGTAGAGAGCGCCAGTGAGGGAGCGACCCCCAGCACAGACACACCTGGGAGAGAGCAGGGAATGGGGTTAGAGTATGAGAGCGCCAGTGAGGGAGCGAACCCCAGCACAGACACGATGGGGAGAGAGCAGGGAATGGGGTTAGAGTAGAGAGCGCCAGTGAGGGAGCGACCCCCAGCAGACACCCGGAATCGTGGGCGTTAATCAGTGGAGGCCGCAGTGCGTTGCTTTAGTTGGATGTTGGAGATGTGTGGCCGGTGTCTAACTTTGTCTCTCTTGGCTCAATAGCCGGAGACTAACTCTGTCTCTCTCTCACACAGTGGCCAGAGTCTAACCTTTCTCTCTCTCTCAGTGCAAGAGTATTAACCTCTCTCAGTGGCCAGTGGCCATTTAACCCCTCTCTCTCTCACTCTCTCTCTCTCTCTCTCTCTCTCACTATCTCTCTCTCAGTCCTCAGTGTCAGAGTCTAACCTCTCACTCCCTCTCTCTCTCTCTCTCTCTCTCTCTCAGTGTCGGAGTCTAACCTCCCAATCTGCATCTTTTTCTGTCCGTCTCTTGTCTCTCTGTCTCAGTGTCGGAGTTTAACATCGTTCTCTCTCTCTCTCTTAACCTTTGTCTCTCAGTAGCCGCAGTTTATTTAACCTCTCCTCTCTCTCTCGCTCAGTGCCGAGTGATAAACTAACCTTTCTCTCTCTCTCTCTCTCTCTCTCTCTCGCACTCTCTGTGTCTCAGTGTCTAACTGTGTTGTGATCTCTCAGGTGCAAATCATCAACAAGCGGGTTGACTACAGTCACGTGCAGTCAAAGTGCGGCTCCAAGGACAACATCAAGCACGTGCCGGGCGGGGGCAACGTGAGTGCCGGGAGCTACGTACGGGGTGGTGGGGGAAGGGCAACACACTGACCCGGGGTGGGGGCTACACACTGACACTGACTGAGGGTGGGTGGGGGGGGGGGAGGGCTTGAACACTGAGTGATGGGGCAGTTGGGGGAAGGGTAGGGGTGTGCCATCTTCTGCACTGGATCGCATGGCCCTGTCACCCCCGCCCTCGCCCGGCTCCACTGGCTCTCCATCCTCCAGAGGAGAGAATTCAAAATTCTCGTCATCGCCTTCAAGGCCCTCCGCGGCCTCGCTCCTCCCTACCTTTGTGACCTGCGAACCCCATGTCATCCTGTCCCGCTCCTTCTGCTCAGCGGGCTCCGGCCTGCTCCACGCCCCCCGCTCGGCCCACCCCACCATCGACGGTAGGACCTTCAGCCTCTCTGCCCCCACGCTTTGGAGCTCCATCCCACAGTCCCTTCGCCTCGTTCCCCCTCCCTCGCCTCCTTCAAGGCACGTCTCAAGACCCTCCTGTTCGACCGCGCCTTCAGTCACCCTCCTACCCCCACCCTCCCTGCCCTTCACCCCCTCCTGATCCCAACCCTCAGCTCAGGTCCAAATCCCTGAAGGTCCTCCTGATGTGATGTGTAAATGTAATGTATTGCATTGCATTTCCCTGACCCTCCGCTGCCCCCTACTGGCGACACGCAGTACCAGCCTTGCCATTCACACTCCCCTCACCTCCCCCCCCCCCCCGCTCACCCCCCCCTCCCTGCTCACCCCCCCTCCCTGCTCACCCCCCCCCGCTCACCCCCCCTCCCTGCTCACCCCCCCCCCCGCTCACCCCCCCTCCCTGCTCACCCCCCCCCGCTCACCCCCCCTCCCTGCTCACCCCCCTCCCTGCTCACCCCCCCTCCCTGCTCACCCCCCCTCCCTGCTCACCCCCCTCCCTGCTCACCCCCCCTCCCTGCTCACCCCCCCTCCCTGCTCACCCCCCCTCCCTGCTCACCCCCCCTCCCTGCTCACCCCCCCTCCCTGCTCACCCCCCCCTCCCTGCTCACCCCCCCCTCCCTGCTCACCCCCCCCTCCCTGCTCACCCCCCCCTCCCTGCTCACCCCCCCTCCCTGCTCACCCCCCCCCCGCTCACCCCCCCTCCCTGCTCACCCCCCCCCCTGCTCACCCCCCCTCCCTGCTCACCCCCCCCTCCCTGCTCACCCCCCCCTCCCTGCTCACCCCCCCCCTCCCTGCTCGCCCCCACTCCCTGCTCGCCCCCCCTCCATGCTCGCTCCCTGCTCGCCCCCACTCCCTGCTCGCCCCCACTCCCTGCTCACCCCCCCTCCCTGCTCGCCCCCACTCCCTGCTCGCGCCTGGCTCATTACTCTCGTTCTGGCCTCCCCTCACCCCCTCTCTATCAGCCTTTCGATCCCCTGTGGTGCCTCTGGGAGCCCCTCCCGGTGTCTGTCCAGCTCTGGGGTGGACACTGTCAGTGTGAGGTGCTGTATAGTGTACACTGAGCTGCTCTGAGCTCAGACGAGACTCTGATCATAGTGAGGTCTATCTGTCGCTCTCTGTGTCTCTCTCTGTCTCTCTCTCACTCCCTCTCTGTCTCTCTCTCTCTGTGTCTCACTCTATCTCTGTGTCTCACTCTCTCTCTCTTACTCTGTGTGTCTCACTCTCTGTGTCTCTCTCTACGTCTCACTCTCTCTCTCTGTGTCTATCTCTATATCTTTCTCTCTTGATTTCAGATCCAGATTCCCAGTAAGAAGATGAACCTCAGTAGCGCGTCAGCAAAGAGTGGCTCCCGCACCAACCTCAAGCTCAAAGCAGGTATAGTGCCCTCTCGCACACTCGCTCACACTGCCCCTTACACACTCGTTCACACTGCCCATGGCACACACTTATATTGGCCCTCACTCACACGTACATTGCCCCTCGCTCACATTTTCCCCTCGCACACTGGCTCACACTATTCTCTCGCTCATACGCTGTTAAGCACGCTACCCTGTGTGGAGGGTGCTATATAATTGCATGTTGTTGTTGTACTCACACTGCCCCCTCGCACACTCGTTCACACTGCCCCCTTGCACACTCACTCACACTGCCGTTCGCACAGACTCACACTGCCGTTCGCACACACTCGCTCACTCAGCCCCTCGCTCACACTCACACTGTCCCCTCGCACACTCGCTCACTTAGCCCCTCGCTCACTTACACAGCCCCTCGCACACTCCCTCACCCTGGCCCCTCCCTCAGTATGGCTCCTCCGCCCCTGGCCCTGACCTGCTCAGTGATGGTTGTTACCAGGTGCTGGAGATGAGAAGGTTGAAGCCAACAAGTTGGACGTGAAGAATGAAGGACAGGACAAAGCGAGCTCAGAGGACAACATGGGGGATACCCCAGAGGGGGGCAATGACAAGGTGAGGAGGGCCAGCGAGGTGCAGATAATGATGCCTGGGGTTTGGAGCCTGGAGCCGGTGGCTAGCACTCACACTGCTCCCAGCATTGCCAATGTCCGTCCACCCAGCAACTGTTAGACTCCAGCAGCTACCCCACTGCACACTCTGGGGTCCCCAAGCCTTGGCTCTTGCCAACCTGCGCCTAATACTCTCTGGAATTAGGTCAGCAGGATGTGTCCCTCCAGGGAGACAGTGCACATTTCATTCCAGATACAGGGAGATTCCCATGTGTAGGTGGCAGACACATGGGTGGGTTTCCGTGTGTGTCACAGTGATGGGTTCCCATGTGGGTCAGACACCGGCTGATCACAGTGATGGGTTCCCATGTGGGTCAGACATTGGCTGATCAAAATACCCCCAGTTAAATCCGCATATTGAGCTGGCCATTGAGAGCACGGCCTGGCAAGCCTTCCCGCTGCTGGTTCAGCTAAGATCACCCTCCCCACTAGGGCAGTGCTGTCTTCAGCAGTGCTCTGGAATACAGAGTAGAGAGCTCCGGTGGGGCAGCGAGCGCCAGCGCAGACACACGGGGGAGAATAGGCTCTCTGATTCTCTAGTTACTCTGCTGCACTGGCTGCTGTGAAGGTGTGAGTTGTGTGTGTGGTGAATATTAATAATAATGATCCTTGCAGGTGATACAGCGCCTTATCAGGTATTCGAGACGTCTCAAAACATTTCTCAGAATACATAAGAACATAAGAATTAGGAGCAGGAGTAGGCCATTCGGCCCCTCGAGCTGCCCCGCCATTCGATACACTGTAAAGTGAATTGACGGTATCTTTTGTGGACGAAACGCACAGCAGTGTCCCCACAAACAGTCGTGGATTGACTGACCAGATTATTTTAAAAAAATTATTTTGGGGGAGTTTATTACCTCTGGAAAAGTGATCCGCTAATCGACTAACAACCGGGTTCCTACTTACCTCTGGTAAACAGAGGCACGTGGAGTAAGGAAACTTGCCTAAGGTTTCAACCTGCCCAAGATCGAACCTGTGTCCTCTCGCTTGTGAGGCCCGATTAAGGTTGTGTGTGTTGTGTGTTTGTGATGTCTATGTGTGTGTTATTAGTGGTGTGTGTATGTGGTGTACTGGTGTGTATGTGTGTGCATAGTGTATTGGTGGTGGTGTATTGGTGATGGTGGTGTGTAATGTACTGGTGTGTGTGTGTGCATGGTGTATTATTTGTGGTGTGTTGGTGGTGTGTGAGTGTATGGTGTGTTGGTGTTGGTGTGTGAGTGTGTGGTGTGTTGGTGGTGGTGTGTGAGTGTGTGGTGTGTTGGTGGTGGTGTGTGAGTGTGTGGTGTGTTGGTGGTGGTGTGTGAGGGTGTGTCGGTGGTGGTGTGAGTGTGTGTCGGTGGTGGTGTGTGAGGGTGTGTCGGTGGTGGTGTGTGAGGGTGTGTCGGTGGTGGTGTGTGAGGGTGTGTCGGTGGTGGTGTGTGAGTGTGTGTCGGTGGTGGTGTGTGAGTGTGTGTCGGTGGTGGTGTGTGAGTGTGTGTCGGTGGTGGTGTGTGAGGGTGTGTCGGTGGTGGTGGTGTGTGAGTGTGTGTCGGTGGTGGTGTGTGAGTGTGTGTCGGTGGTGGTGTGTGAGTGTGTGTCGGTGGTGGTGTGTGAGTGTGTGTCGGTGGTGGTGTGTGAGGGTGGTGTGTGGTGGTGGTGGTGAGGGTGTGTCGGTGGTGGTGTGTGAGGGTGTGTCGGTGGTGGTGTGTGAGGGTGTGTCGGTGGTGGTGTGTGAGTGTGAGGGTGTGTCGGTGGTGGTGTGTGAGGGTGTGTCGGTGGTGGTGTGTGAGTGTGAGTGTGTGTCGGAGGTGGTGTGTGAGGGTGTGTCGGTGGTGGTGTGTGAGGGTGTGTCGGTGGTGGTGTGTGAGGGTGTGTCGGTGGTGGTGTGTGAGTGTGTGTCGGTGGTGGTGTGTGAGTGTGAGGGTGTGTCGGTGGTGGTGTGTGAGGGTGTGTCGGTGGTGGTGTGTGAGTGTGAGTGTGTGTCGGTGGTGGTGTGTGAGTGGTGAGTCTCCCTGTAACCTTGAGCCCTGGTTCTCTTGTAGAATGTGGGTGACGAGGAGACAACCCGACTGCCCGAGGCGCCCCCCAGTGGAGCGGTTGGGAGCAGCACACTGAACGGAGTGGGGGAAGCGGACAGCCAGTCTCTCAGCCAACCGCAGCCGCTGCCGACATGTGAGCGAGCGCTACCCCCAGTGCCAACAGCCTGACCCACACACCGCACTCACACACCGCCCGCCCGCCCGCCCGCGGGGTTCAGTGTCAGCGCAGTGCCGGACACCGGGCGACAACACGCAGAGCCTTGCACAACGACGTGTGCGTGGACGCGCACACACACACGCTCGCTCGCACACACACGCACACACGCGCACGCATTCCTGGACACACACACATACTCTCACACATACAATCTCACACACACACACTCATACATGTTCGTTGCACACAGCTTTGCTCGCAACACTCGCGCGCGCGCGCGCGCACACTCACAACAACAACTTGCAAGCACGCAGCACATGGGGCAGCGTCTGGGAACGCTTAACGGTGGTGGAGCCTGATGCCGGGGGGGGGGGGGGGCGGGGAGGGGTGGGGGGAGTATCGGTGTGTGATGGCTTCTCTCTCTCTGTTACAGATTGAATCTCACCGGCTGCCACGACAGAGCTGAGCACAGAGCAGACAATGTACAAAGCCCCCCCCCCCCCCCCCCCCTCGCTGTGACAGCCCCCCCCCCCCCTCGCTGTGACAGCCCCCCCCCTCGCTGTGACAGCCCCCCCCCTCGCTGTGACAGCCCCCCCACCCCTCGCTGTGACAGCCCCCCACCCCTCGCTGTGACAGCCCCCCCCCCTCGCTGTGACAGCCCCCCCCCTCGCTGTGACAGCCCCCCCCCTCGCTGTGACAGCCCCCCCCCTCGCTGTGACAGCCCCCCCCTCGCTGTGGCAGCCCCCCCCCCCCCCCCACTGCCAGGCTGGGCTCTCTGCCCACAGCTTCACATCCGCACTCCACGTCTCCACAGCCCCCCCCCCCCCCCCCCCACCCGCACACACACACTCAGACATTTAGTAAAGTGAATGAGGATGTTTTAGCTTCAATTATCAGGAGTTTGTGATTAAACGTAACGTCTCACTGTTTAATTCAGGGCGGAGAATAGCCCCTCCCCTGACATAGTCCCCCCCCTCGCATAGCCCCCCCCCCCCCCCACCACAGTCCCCTGGGCACAGACCCTCCTCCTTACACAGGCCCACCCCCTTACACAGCCACCCTTCCCCCAGGCACACCCTCTCCCCCCCCCCCCCCGACACAACCCCTCCCCCAGACATAACCCCTCCCCCAGACATACCCCTCCCCCAGACAGCCCCTCCCCCAGACATGGCCCCTCCCCTAGATGTAGCCCACCCCCTTACACAGCCCCTCCCTGACATAGCCCACCCTCCAGACACCACGGCTCGTCACTCATACAGCCCTCCCCCAGACATGGCCCCTCCCCCAGGCATAGCCCCTCCCCCCAGGACCCAGCCCCTCCCCCAGGACTGTGGTTAAAGGGTATGTGGGGCTGAGCTGAGGGTTTTCCCAACCCCTTCCCTGCCCGAGAGAGAAAGAGCATTGCAGGGCGTGGACATAGCTGTACCCCCCCCCCCCCCCCACAAGGAACCTCCCTCACTAACCGACTAACTGACAGATGACTAAGGCCCCGGGATGGTGGGACCTGGTGCAGAGAGGCCACTTGTGGCGAGCGGACGGCTGGCGTGTGGATACGTGGACAGAGGGCGAGAGTTTTACTGTAATATTGTTTTCACAATCCAGGGAGGTGCCGGGGGCGGTTAATCCAAACTAAACCCATCCGATCTGTCTCTCTAACGCCCACTCACTCCCACCGCACTCTCACTCCCTCTTTCTCAGAGGTTGTTTCTCACTCTCTCCCATTCTCTTTCTCTCACACTCACAATTTCTCTCTCTCTCTGTCACTGATTCTCTATAGAGAGAGCTGTTGAGGTGGGGGAAGCGAGGAGAGAGAGTGTGTGTCCGGGGGTGGGGGGGAATTCTGAATTGATCTTGTCTGACTGAAGTTGTCACCCCCCCCACCACCCCACCACCACACACACCATCTCTTGGTATTAATCCCAATTATACAGTGTTGATGTGGATGTTGTGGAGATTTGGCTAATGTGTTGACTCAGGTACTGAAGGATTGTGGAGGGAGGGGGGCTGGGGAGTGAAGGAAGGGGGGCCGGGGAGTGAAGGAAGGGGGGCCGGGGAGTGAGGGAGGGGGTGCCGGGGAGTGAGGGTCTGGGGAGTGAGGGAAGGCGGGGCTGAGGAGTGAGGGAGGGGAGTTGGGGAGTTAGGGGGGGGTGATTGGGGAGTGAGGCAGGGGGACCAGGGAGTAAGGGATGGGGGCTCGGGGAGTGAGGGGGGGGTGGAGTGTAGGTGTGGAGGGCAATGAGTGGGGGGTTGGGGAGTGAGTGGGGGGTTTGTGGAGGAGGGGAGGTTGGGGAGTGGGGTGGGGTGTGAAGGAGTGAGGAGGGGGGGGTCGGGGAGTGAGGAGGGTGGTCAGGGAGTAGGAGGGGGTTGGGGAGTGAGAAAGTGGGGGTTGGGGAGTGCGGGAGGGGAGCTGGGGAGTGAGGGGGTGGTTGGGGAGTGAGGAAGGGGGTCGGTGAGTGAGCGGTGGGGTTTGTGGAGGGAGGGGAGGTTGGGGAGTGTGGGTGGGGGGTTGGGGTGTGAGCGAGTGAGGAGGGGTGTCGGGGAGTGAGGAAGGGGCTCGGGGAGGGAGGGAGGAGGAGTCAGGAAGTGAGGGGCGGCCAGGGAGTGAGTGGGGGGAGGGGATCTGTTGTGTTAGTGTGCGGGGGCTGCTCACTGCTCACTGTCTATGCCCAGTTTCTCTGTAGCCAGTCTCTACACGGCCAGTCTCTGTGCCCAGTCTCTCTGTGCCCAGTCTCTCTGTGCCCAGTCTCTCTGTGCCCATCCTCTCTGGCTCTGCCCAGTCTCTCTGTTCCCAGTCTCTCTACGCCCAGTCTCTCTGTGCCCATCCTCTCTGGCTCTGCCCAGGCTCTCTGTGCCCAGTCTCTGTGCCCAGGCTCTCTGTGCCCAATCTCCCTGGCTCTGCCCAGTCACTCTGGCTCTCTTGTCACGTCACCAGCACATCAGTAAAAGGGAAATGAAGAACCTCTCTCAATGTCTGACACCTTTTCGCAGTGATTTTGTGGAGTCCTGTAGCATAGTGGTTAGAGCACTCGCTTTGCAAGCGAGAGGACCCGGGTTCGATTCCCGGGCAGGGCGAAACGTTGGGCAAGTTTCCTTACTCCACACGCCTCTGTTTACCAGCAGTGAGTAGGAACCCGGTTGTTAGTCGTTTGGCAGATCGCATTTCCGGGCGCAATAAACGCTTTAAAAAAATAATAATAATGTGGTCACTCAATCCATGGCTGTTTGTGGGACACTGCTGTGCGCAATTGGCTGCCGCGTTTCACCCACAAAATATACAGTCACAACATTATATCCTGTGAAAGCGCTTTGAGACGTCCCAAAGACGTGATAAGGCACTATATCAAATGCGAGGATTATTATTTTGAAAGAGAGACGAATCGTAACAGATGTTAAATGTGTAACGAGGCATGGATTTTGTCTGAATCTCGGACGTTATGCGAGACGATTTGTTGTGTGGGGTATGAAACTAAATGTGGAGTGATGCCCACACGCAGGCCATGTGATGGGCTTGTATACTTTAGTGGCTGCTGTCAACCTTCACACATTAACAATATTGCCCACATCCTTGCTTTGCTGTTTGGCTGTTAACAAACAATATCACTGAGTCTGAGATCTAATTTTATCGTTTAGTCTTTGTTGTACCAAGAGTCTGATTTGAAATAAAGCTTCTATGTTGATGTTAAGGCGGTGCTGATTTCTTCTGTGTCCTCCGGTCTCTTGTCAGACTGTCACCTGCCTCGTTCCTCAGTGCTCTCCTCGATCCTCTCTTTAATGTTGACAAAACAGAAGCCAATACAAGACGATACTGCGAGGCTCCCGTCAACGGCTTCTATCCTGCGGCCCTGACCTCAATATCCCTGAGCTATCCCTCAGACTTACTGAACCAGTGCACAACCTTGGGGTCAGGTTCGACCCACAGCGATCATTAGCCACAAGCAGCACAATTACATTTGTACAGTGCCTTTCACGTCGGGACAACGTCCCAAATGAATGGATCAGCCATAATCCACAGCCTTTTAGGGGAGAGGGTTCCAGATTCCCACTCCCCTTTGTGTGAAAAACTGCCCGATTTCACTCCTAAATGGCCCAGTTTTAAGATGACGTCCCTTGTTCTGGATTCTCCCTCCAGTTTCTCTGTAGCTACGCTATCAAATCCATTTATTATTTTAAACCTCAATCAGATCAGACTCAACCTTCCAAACTCAAGGGAATAGAGACCACATTTATGCAACGGTCCTCATAATTTAACCCTTTTAGCCCTGGTATCATTCTCGGCGCTGCACCCCCTCAGAGCCAATATATCCTTCCTGAGGTGCAGAGCCCAAAACTGAACAGTCTCCAGATGGGGTCTGACTAAGACTCTGGACAAATGAAGCATCATTTCCTCTTTATATTGCAGACCCTTTTAGACAAAGGTTTGTAGATTCTAAAGCACAGTGACGGGTGTCCGTGTGTGTCAGACACCCGGGCCTGGTCCACGGTGGACGGGTGTCCGTGTGTGTCAGACACCGGCTGGTCACGGTGACGGGT